GGGCCGAATCAAGGAGTCGCCAAGCTAGTTTTCTCCAAGGGCCGTTAACTGACTTTTTGGCTGACTTTAACTTAAATTTTGGGGACGTTGAGTCCCAAACGGAGCTGGCTAAGAAAATTTGGAACCTACATCAAGGACGTCAATCAGTAACGGATTTTGCCATAGAATTCAGGACTTTAGCAGCCAACTTCTCTGGGAGTGGTGACATGTTGAAGGGAGCCTTTGCCCAAGCACTAAATGATCGCATTAAAGATCAATTGGCTTACTGTCAGGAACCATCGACCCTTGAGGAACTTATTGCCCTGGCCATACGCATAGACAAAAGACTAAGAGAACGTAGTGGGAGTGTCTCTTTTGCTTCTTCAGCACCGCGCCGGGCTTCTTCACCCCCTTATCGAGCTCGCCCCCAGGAACCACCATCTCCTCCTCCCGAAGAGCCCATGCAACTTGGACGGACTCGACTGACACCGGAGGAATGGCAGCGACGTCTAAGAGGGGGTTTATGTTTCTATTGTGGACAGGCTGGTCACCTGGTCTCCAATTGCCCAAGCCAGTTAAACTCACCAGCCCGCCGGTAGGATTGAGGTTACTGGTGGGCGGTTTTTCAGATAACGCTAACCCTCGATGCTCATTGCCTTGTACCATATTTTATAACCACAACTCTTCTGCTTCCTCTGCTCTCTTAGATTCAGGCTGTGATCAAAACCTGTTGGACCAGGCCTTGGTGCACTCACTCAAGATCCCCACATCCTTGCTTCCTACCCCCATCAAGGTCTCCTCCCTTGACGGCAACTCTTTGACCACTATCACCCACCAAACTGTCCCGGTAAAATTCCTTGTTTCAGGAAACCATTATGAGGTAACATCATTTTATGTTTTCCCTTCCCCTCAGTCACCTGTGGTTCTTGGTCATGCCTGGTTGTCCCTACATAATCCTCATGTAAATTGGAAGACAGGACAGATTGAGTCTTGGAGCCCGTTTTGCTTGTCACACTGCCTACAGTCTGCCTCCCTCACAGATCCTAAGCCCATCTCCTCCTCGGTTGCCCTGCCAGACCTGACCGGAGTACCCAAGGAATACCATGACCTTCACCAGGTATTTTCCAAAGACAGAGCTGCATCCCTGCCCCCACATCGTCCTTACGACTGCGGTATAGACCTACTCCCTGGTTCCACTCTGCCCTCCAGTCGTTTGTACAACCTATCCAGACCGGAGAGGGAGTGCATGGAGCAATATATCTCAGAGTCCCTGGCTACGGGTATTATCAGACCCTCCACTTCACCCCTTGGAGCTGGGTTCTTCTTTGTGTCAAAGAAGGACGGGACCCTACGTCCTTGCATTGATTACCGAGGTCTAAATCAAATAACCATTAAAAACAAATATCCCCTACCTCTTCTTTCCTCAACCTTTGAACCTGTTCAAGATGCAACCATCTTTACAAAGTTAGATCTCCGTAGCGCCTACCACCTAGTCAGAGTTCGCGAGGGAGATGAGTGGAAAACTGCTTTTAAGACTCCCATGGGACACTTTGAATACCTGGTGATGCCTTTCGGTCTGACTAATGCTCCCGCTGTTTTCCAGTCACTCGTTAATGCAGTACTGAACGACTTTCTGAACAAGTTTGTGACTGTCTACCTGGATGACATTTTGATTTTTTCCAAGTCCCCTGAAGAACACTCTCACCACGTCCGTGCCGTCCTCCAGCGACTATTGGAGAACAGGTTGTATGTCAAGGCAGAAAAATGTGAATTTCATGTGAACTCTGTAAAGTTTCTGGGCTTCATTCTAGAGAGTGGGCGTCTGAAGACCGATCCGGACAAGGTTCAGGCTGTTCTTCACTGGCCAACTCCTTCATCACGTAAGCAATTGCAACGCTTTCTTGGTTTTGCAAATTTTTATCGCCGGTTCATAAAGAACTACAGTCAGACAGCAACCCCCCTCACACAACTCACCTCTGTGAAGAAACCCTTTGTATGGACTCAGGAAGCTGAATGTGCTTTTCAGGAACTTAAGGAAAGATTCACTCAAGCTCCCATCCTCACTCGTCCCAACCCTCAGTTACAGTTCACCTTGGAGGTGGATGCCTCAGATTCAGGAGTTGGGGCAGTGCTATCGCAGACCTCCCCCACTGATCATAGACTACACCCTTGTGCCTTTTTCTCTCGGCGGCTATCTCCAGCGGAACGGAACTATGATGTGGGAGACCGGGAGCTTCTTGCCATAAAACTAGCACTCGAGGAATGGAGGCACTGGCTTGAGGGAGCGACTCATCCCATCATCGTTTGGACGGATCACAAAAACCTCTCCTATCTGAAAGAGGCTAAGAGACTTGATCCAAGACAATCACGCTGGTCCATGTTCTTTGCCCGTTTCAATTTCATGATCTCTTTCAGACCCGGAACCAAGAACGTGAAGCCAGATGCCTTGTCCCGTCAGTACTCCTCTGACCGCGAACCCGAACCAGCAACCATTCTTCCTCCCTCCTGCATAATCGGATCCATCACTTGGGACATCAAGGACAAAGTCCTGGAGGCTCAGAAGACCGAGCCTGATCCAGGTAATGGACCTCCTAACCAGATTTTCGTTCCCTCCACAGTACGGGCCTCAGTCATCCAGTGGGCTCACACAGCCAAGTTTTCCCTACACCCGGGGGTTGGAAGAACTGTAAGCCTGATCAGACGTTTCTTCTGGTGGCCTTCTCTATTTAAGGACGTCAAGAGTTATATAAATGCATGTCATGTCTGTGCCCGTAACAAGAGCAGCAACCAGCCCCCTTACGGCCTTCTCAACCCTCTCCCTATCCCTTCACGACCATGGTCACATATTGCTCTGGATTTTGTCACCGGCCTTCCCCCATCCCGTGGTTTCAATGTTATCCTTACAGTTATAGATCGCTTTTCTAAGGCCTGTCACCTCATCCCTCTTAAGACTCTCCCTTCCTCTGCAGAAACTGCTACCCTCCTAGTTAAACATGTCTTCCGCCTTCATGGAACCCCCTCTGAGATCCTCTCCGACCGAGGCCCCCAGTTTGTCTCCAGGGTTTGGAAGGAGTTTGCTGCCCAACTGGGGGCTCGTGTCGCCCTCTCCTCAGGTTTTCATCCCCAGACCAACGGTCTCTGTGAACGGATGAACCAGGAACTGGAGGCGGTGTTACGTTGCCTGTGTTCATCCATCCCCTCTGGGTGGAGCTCCCAGCTGGCGTGGATTGAGTATGCCCACAACGCCCATACCTCTTCCTCCACTGGTCTCTCCCCCTTCGAGGCTTCCCTTGGGTTTCAACCACCTCTGTTTCCCTTGGACAACTTGTCTTCCACCTCTGTGCCACAGTTCATACGCCAAGCCCGACGCACCTGGTCCCTCACCTCAGCGGCTCTTCGTAGAACGGCGGAACGCAATCGCCGCTTGGCTGACCGCCATCGACGGCCCGCCCCTTCCTATGCCCCTGGGCAATCAGTTTGGCTCTCAACATGCAACATCAATCTCAAGAACTCCTGTAAGAAGTTGTCCCCTCGTTTTATCGGTCCATTCAAGATCTCAGCAATCATTAACCCTTCATCGGTCCGCCTCGACCTCCCAGCATCCATGAAGACACACCCCGTCTTCCACGTCTCCCACATTAAGCCTGTGTCTGCCAGTCCGCTGTGCCCCCCTCCTACTCCTCCCCCTCCGGCCAGGCTTGTCGGTGGAGGTCTCGTCTACCAGGTTAGGCGCTTGCTGGATGTGCGTCGCCGCGGCCGTGGATACCAATACCTGGTTGACTGGGAAGGCTATGGACCTGAAGAGCGGTCCTGGATACCCCACTCCTTTATTGAGGATCCTTCCCTGATTAGGGACTTTGAGGCCTCCCGGGCCTCCGCCACTGCCTCTGCCAGAACGCCAGGAGGCGTCCCTTGACGGGGGGGTACTGTCACGGGTTGTTTTTATTCTCACAATCAATGTTTTTAGGTCTAAGAGTCTGCAGGTGGGCGTGTCTGGAGAGCAGGAGCAACAGCCAGCTGCAGCTCATCTCCAATCATCCTCCAGGGTGTATTTAAGGAGCTGACTTCCTCAACACTCTTGCCGGATGATTACTCAACCTGGGTAGTTCGAGTCAGAATAAAAATCTATTGTTAAGCTAAAGATTAAAACTTAGACTAAGAAATGTTTTTGTGAAGCAGCTTTCTACCAGACTAGGACCAAGATTAATCCTTCCTCTTATCCCTTCAAGGAACCATCTCCTCCAGCCATTTCCAAGAACTTTTCATCAGCTCCACTTCATTCAGCTCCAACCCCTGGCTGTACGCTCTCCACTACGCCCCTACCGCCTACCCTTTCAAGCTCACCACACAGGAACCCTGGACCTCATCTTCATCAGGACCCCTTTACAACCCTTCTTCATAAACCAACCTGTGCTCCTTCGTATGCCCTCTAGCCACCTCCTGACAGTAAGCCTAAACCTTCAGTTATCCATCCCATCATCTCTCACGGATATTAACCTTTGTCTCTCTTTTAGAACATCCTGGCACATCCTGCATCAGTTTGAGCAGCGCTTTGAGTTCTCCAGTTTAAAATAAATTATTTGTTTTCTTACCTCCCTCTTCCCGTCTCTGATTCTGCATGTCGTGGGTCAAAAGAATACCACAGAACATGACACCATCAGGAAGGAGGTTCTGCAGCATCCGGTCCAGAACCAGCAGACTGAGAGACAGCTTTTTCCATCAGGCCATCAGACTGCTGAACACGGCGCAGACACTTCACCCTCACTACTGAAACTCCAACATTACACACTCCATACTGTACATTAATGCCACTGTTTTGCACATACCAAGCTCTGTACATTTTATATCTCTTATCTTATTGTTTACTTTATTCATTTGTAAAACACGTATATACACACTATACACACACAAACGCACACACGTAGAACAATATATTAAAAATAAATAAATAAATAATAAATAAAAAATAATATAATTGCATAAACATTTAGTAATGTATATACATTACAACTTATACATATTATTACTTAGATTAGCCATTTGTTGCTTGTTTTTACGTTACTGTATTTTTGCACAACTCTGTTGCTGTGAAGCTCGCACACAAGAATTTCACTCGCATGTACTGTACCAGTGTACCTGCACATGTGACGTGACAATAAAAGTGATTTGATTTGATTTGAAATTGACCCTTTTGGTACGTTACATGTTTGTGAAGATCAACGCTGACAACATTTAAATGTGATGATGCTGACAGACCTTGCTGACAGACCTTAGCAACTGTTGCTATGTCGACACAAAGATGCTGTAATAGTTGTCATGGTGACATGTTATTGTTGTTATGACACTATGACGTCATCACCGCCGTGCTCTGGACCATATTGGACAGGACTGATGGTGTTGTGGTCCAGAGGACACTCTGTCTCACTGTTGTCCCAGACAGTCCCTGAAGATCCTTCAGACCAACAAACACACAACAGTCATCAGATGAGTGAGAACAGAGGACTCCTGGAGGCTTCTTTAATTTGCTATTTGTATGATGATGTCAGAGGCAGCCCAAGGCATATAAGACTTAAGTGACTGCTTTGGGCCCCCACACCACCAGGGGGCCCCCAAGAGCACCAACATGACATGAGAAAAAAATGTTTTAATAACTAACTAATAAAAACTAATATTTCACGTGAAAAAAAAACATGTTTCTATATTACTTTCTGTAGTGTCAATTGGTTTTATTTTGAAGTGCAGCACATTTTACACGTTTCAAATTTTAAGAACAAAAATGGTAATCCTAACTTTTTTTTTACTGTAAATTCAGTGTTTGTCTGCTGATGTTTCTTTCAAATAGTTGAATTAATGTACCACACTTAAACTAAAAATTTGCGTTTTTTTTTTTTTGCTCCAGCAAAGCTAAAATCAACATCCACAATAATAACTTAATGATGTGTGAGCTAATTACGAAAGATGCTAACGATGGTGGTCATGTTACTCAAATGGTGTAGCCTAGGAATGGTGTTGACTTGTTGGTATGGGGGGCCCCGATAGAAACCCTGCTAGGGGCCCCACAGAGACTAAGGCCTGCCCTGGATGATGTCATCAGTAAATAAATGCATCAGGTGAACTTTGTTGTGTTCAGATCACTTTTAAAAGATAATTATTAATAAATGATGGCAAAAGCAAGAATTGATGTCATTCTTCTCACCAAAACCTTTCAGGCTCATATAAAACGCTGCTTTACAATAGATCAGCATCTTCAGTCAGAACCAGGAGAACAGACTCTTAGCCCTTTAACACTAACCGTAAAATTAGTAACACCATCACTAACACGTGCGGTGAAAATCGTCATTTTTTCCCCCACACTTTAAACCCTGCGGCCAATATGATGGTGTGGGTAATCTACCACAGTTTTCCCTGGATGGTAATCAAGAATGTCTTGTATTCCTGATTTAATTTCCGGTGCCTGCCTCTCTGATATCTTGTTGGCGGATTTCAGTTGATTCAGTCAGGTTTCAGCAGAAAATCCCACACCGACCTTTAGGGAAAAGCCAAAATATAATTATTATGAATATTGCATTACAAGTGGTGAAATGATTGGAGATTCTTCAAAAAGACGTTTAGTTTTTCATTTCATTGTGACTCGTCTATCACACGCTGTTACGACCAGCGGTTGGTACACATGAAGGACACATAACACAGAGGCATGTGCAGGTTGGTGAAATTCAAACAGTTTTTATTATAAATACAGATTTTAAAAAACAAAGCTCCAATTCTAAAAGTTCAATAAATAACAGTGTTAAAAAGGCTCGTGGTTACATGTTTAAAATGGGGATTCTCAATTAAAACACATCTCAAAAGCTCTCAAACATACCAACACAAAGGTCCACTGACCATACGGAGCTAAGAGGGAGCCAGCACTCGGGTCCCTCGTCTGTTTTAAAAGCCTACAAGTACTCTTGCTTTCACCTATTAACACGTCTGGACTAAAACCCTTAAAACAGTAATGGAGCCAACGGTGAGACGTGGCATGGCTCCGGCCTCCTCTGTTGTGTTCTACTTGAACTAGAAGACACGGGACAACTGTGTGCCGTGAACTGGAGCTCAACCTTGTATTCACACTCCCCTCTCCCACACACTAACACACCCCACAGTCCTGACGTGTCCACTGGCAGCAACCACACAACATCAGCTGAGGCAAGATAACTCAGGTAAGGGCAAAGGAATCAAATGCAAACGAGTCCCTGTGGCAAGTCCACCCTATAAGACCTGAGTGAGTAATGTTTTTGGTTCAGAATACCTGGTGTCTTCACATCTGTCACGCACACCCGATCATCACGCAACACTTCACTTAGCAGCTTTGCCCGATGGCGTCTGTTGTAGTTCTGTGCATTCTACGTCCTCTTGTCCTCCTCTCTTTGCACAAGCATTGGCTGGTCAGGCAGCACAGGATCCAACAGTGAAGAAACACTACTTGGTATGTATACTGTATGTTGTGTGTGTGTGTGTGTCTGCTCTGTCTTCTCCAGGATCCTCTGGAGGTTTCTTCCTGTTAAAAGGGAGTTTTCCTCTCCGCTGTCGCTACATGCTTGCTTAACATGAGGATTGCTGTAAAGACTCTGACTCTAGTCAGTGACTCGATGCAACCTGCTGGAGACATCTCAAGACTGGACGGGTCGTATCGGAGTTAATCTATGAAATCCCGGTGCCGTGAGGTCCACCCGACTTCTGACAGTCCGGATCTGCTGGGGGTCTCCGCCAGGGTTTGTAGACACAACAGATTGCGTCTGATGCTGTTTTATTAATAATCAACTCTCTAGTCTATAGCAGACAACAAATTCTTTTACACCCAGATGTCACAATTTCTGTCAGATACAAAGATTCTGATAAACATCTAGTTTACATCACACCACCACACATCACATGCCATCACCGCATCTCCACTCCATCATCACATCTTTCTTTCTCCGTATTTATTTCAAACAAAGAAAACATACATCATTTTTCAAAAACAGAAAATATATATAAAATCATCATCCTTTTTTTTTCTTCTTCTCTGTCTGAAAAGGAGTAGGCTGAAGTCGAAACTTATATGTCCCTACCCCTTTTATGCATATTATTCTTTACTTATACTTAGTAGTACTACACCAAATGTAACACAAAACCACATTAAAACAACAGATAGTACAAATCACTCAAACAACCAAACCATATGGGAAAAAACAAAATGAAACACATCTTTTTACAATTCATACTCAAACTTCTCTCTCTTTAGAATAAAGGACAAACACATAAATCATCTATTTTCCTCTCTATACTTATTTAGGATATGTTTTTCATGATTCATTTTAAACAGGTTTATATTTGTACTTACTTTAATTTCTTCTTCTAAACTGTTCCATAAGTTAACCCCTATTATTGTGATACACATACTTTTTAATATTGTTCTAACATTATGTATCTTTAAATTTAGTATCCCTCTCGAGTTGTACTCTCCTTCTCTCTCTGTGAACAGTTTCTGTATTTTATCAGCTATTAGTTTATTTCTTACTTTATATACTATTTGTGCTGTTTTGTATTGAACCAAGTCCTGGAACTTCATTGTCCGTGTTTTAATAAAAAGTTCATGTATGTGATCCCAATATCCTGCATTAGTTATTAATCTGATAGCCTTTTTCTGCATTGTCGTTATTGTTTGTAAATGACTTTTGTACGTATTTCCCCAGACCTCTACACAATAGCTCAACCTGTTTCCTTGTAGCTGGTAGCTTGAGTTGCTGCCTGTAGCCTGTGGCTTACCCAGATGCTGGTCGCTGGTATTTTTTCCTTTTTAGTTGTTAGTGTTTAGTAGATCCTGGGCTTCCGGGCCTAGTAGCCGATGGTGTATCCTAGAATTGCCTGATGGTAGCTTGGAAGCTGCTGCTGGCCTCAGGTGGACCGGTCTGGTCCGGTTCTGATCTTTCCACCTGGACCTGGCTGCTGGGTCCATGTTAGCTGGATATTTCTGTCCTCCTCTGACTCTCTCGGTGTAGTTGGGGTGAGCTCACATTTCTGTGCTGCTGCTTTTTTTTGCTCATTATTCATATCTTGTCATGTATAATCATTAGTTTAGAAAAAAATAAAATTCCTTTTTAACTATATACCTGACTCTGTCTGAATTAATACAACATGTGTTCATGATCCCTGAACAAGTAAAAGTAACTAGAATCTTCTGATTAAACATTCAAAGATCAATCAGGTTTATATTTCATATTTATATGGAATCATCAGAAATCATCACATCTTACTGGTCAGAATTAATTTGCAGTCGTCACGCTATAATGTGTGACCACTACAAAGGGAGCCTAAAGTCACGTCCATCTATTTCCAGAAGTGTCATTTATGTATGAGAGCCAGGTGTGTTTTATTCTGCTCCAGCAGGTGGCGCTAGTGCACCTTTACGCTGGTCACGGACCACCGGAAGAAGCAGAAACCGGAAGCTGCTAACAGAGCTAGCTTGTTGTTGTGGTGTGTGAGGAGAAGATTTGAGGCTCTGCAGTAAAAACGTCTCCACTTCAGTCTCTGGGAGAGTTGATCAGCTAAAGCGACTAACTGCTGCTGCTGCAGAAACCTTCTCACCAGGCTGTGGAAACTTTCTTCTTCTCCTCAACAACTTGGTGGAGTTCTTTCCAGAAGCAGAGAAGCTATTCTGCGGTCTTCGTGACAATCGGAGCTCCAGAATCAGGTTGTGGGTGAGAAAAGCTTTTCTCTAGACTTCCTGCCCTCTGGATCTGCTGCTGTTCCTTTGGCCAGAACCAAAGCGTTGGATCTTTAATCTCCTGCGTTGTTCTGAAGCAGCATCTTAATCAGCTCTCCTGCTTTGTTTCTATTGCAGCTGTTAGCTAAACACGGCTAAAGAAAACCTGCTACCACTTCAGGATCATCCATCAGCTGGGACGGATTCATCGTGTGTTCTTCACCACCTGGACCTGGACAGCATGGACACAGGTACTGGTGGATGAATGAATATATTGTCAGTCTGTTGTAACCCTGGCGTCAGATTAAGTTACCACTTATTCAAAAAATAATGATAAATAGGCCAGACTCTAGGTCCAACAGGATTACCTTACAAATTACCAGTGAGTGGGAAATGGAATAGCTGGATCCAAAGAATGAGCAAAAACACAGTTGCACCAGATTTGTAATTTTACATAGATATATGAAAATAGAACAAAAAATACTGCAGCTGCAATAGACATATAGTTGAACAATTAGAACACAGAAACGGTTTTGTTACCTGTTTTGTCGCTACGTTTTGCCGGCGGCTGCAGACTTCCTCAGGCTGACGCTGATGGTGGCGCGTCACTTCCTTCTCCGTTTATCCGCGGGCAGTAGAGGAAGTTGTCGCCCTCTACGGCCCGCTCTGCCCTCTCCGACGATGCAGTCCCATGCGTGGTCCAACGTGTACACTCCATCGTCCCTGTTCATGGTCCCACATCCACGTCTCCTTATCTCGATTGCTTCTTTTATCCATCTTTTGTATTTTTGTTGTTCTGTGTTTATGATCCTTGTGTTGTCCCAGTCCATTATATCAATCAATCAATCAAAGCTTTATTTATAAAGCGCCTTCCGCAACCCTGTCAGGAAGCCCAAGGCGCTGAACATGGTACAGTACAAAGTTAATTAAAGTGAATAAATCAGAAAATAAAAGCAGTTCAAATTACAGATTACAATTTACAAAAAAGGTGAAACATTCTAGTAGAAGACAAATGTGTAAAACAAGGGAAAAAGCGAACCAATGAAAACTGTGAGATAAAATCAACATAAAAGAGGGCCAAATTCAAACATGTTCAGGGAACGCCAAGTGGAGGAGGTGTGTTTTTAGGCGACTCTTAAAGACTGGCAGAGATGGGGACAGCCTAACTGAGGGTGGCAACTGGTTCCAGAGTGACGGTGCTAGGACTGAGAAAGCCCGGTCCCCGCGAGTACGACACCTAGAACGAGGGTCAACGAGCAGGCCTTGGTCAGAGGAGCGCAGAGCGCGTGATGGGGAATGTCTGTTCAGGAGCGTGGCTAGATAGGGGGGAGCACCACCCTGGAAGAAATGATAAACAAAGATGAGGAGTCTGAATTGTGAACGATAGCAGACAGGAAGCCAGTGCAGGGAAGCCAGAACCGGACTGATGTGGTCCCGTTTCCTTGTCCCAGTCAGGAACCTGGCTGCGCTGTTCTGCACAACCTGTAGGCGACGCAGTGATGACTGACGCAACCCTGCATATAGAGAGCTGCAGTAATCAAGCCTAGAAATTACAAAAGCATGGAGTACCCGCTCCAGGTGGGCTCTTGACAGCATGGGCTTGATTTTTGCAAGGCGTCTCAGGTGAAAGAAACTGGACCGGATCACAGAGTTGATTTGGGCATCAAATTTTAGTCCAGCATCAAGTTTCACCCCCAAACTGGTCACAACTGGTTTTGAGTAAGGAGAAAGAGGCCCAAGATCAACATAACGATCCGCATTCCTGCTGTTGGGGTGAAAAACAATGAGCTCTGTATATATGGTTTTCTCTTATGCAGTGATCTGTTACGGCTGACTTCTTTATTGTACTTTCTGCTTCTTCTTTTGCTGCTCTTGTGTGTTTTCGATTTGCCTCTTTCTCGCACTCCTTTCTATGTTCTATTGTTCGTGTGTTGAGTTGGCGTCCGGTTTCTCCTATGTATGTTTTATTGCAGAGTTTGCATGGGATTTCGTAAACGACTCCACATTTAATTCCAGCTGGTATCTTGTCTTTTGGGTGCATTAGTCTGTTTCTAACTGTTGTGTATGGTTTTGTTGGTGTGTTTATGTTGTGTTTTTTCATTGTTGCTCTTATTAGGCCCGAGCAGCGAAAGCGCTGCGAAGGCCTCTTGTTTTTTCTGTTATGCCTCTGATGTATGGTAGGGTTGTCACTGGTTTACACTGGCTATGCCTCTGATGTATGGTAGGGTTATCACTGGTTTACACTGGCTATGCCTCTGATGGATGGTAGGGTTATCACTGGTTAACAATGAAAAAATACAACATAAACACACCAACAAAACCATACACAACAGTTAGAAACAGACTAGTGCACCCAAAAGACAAGATACCAGCTGGAATTAAATGTGGAGTCGTTTACGAAAAAAAAAACGACAAAAACCTAGCCTGCACTACAATAATGCAATTATTGTTTACAGCTAAATAAAAGTCTCATCTCTTATTCTCACAGCTATAGCTTTTACAATATTTTCTTTCTTCGTCCTTCAAATTACCATAGTAACAATTTACATGCATGTTCATTTCTTTTCTCAAAATACATTTTGGCGATACATGAAACATGTTTTTAACTCACGTAACTAATAGTTTGAATCTTTTAGTAGAAGAAAGAAAGTAGCTGAGGGGGGTCAGAAATGTTGCCAGATTAGTCGCTAGGCACTATTTTGAAAAAAAAAAAGTCGTTAAGGTGGTCTGAAAAGTCGTTAGAAATGGTCACAAAGTCGCTAAGTTGGCAACACTGCAAGCTGCAAAAATGCACATGCTCATTGCTCGCTCCCGCGGTGCGCACAAACACAATTCAATTCAAGTTTATTTATAAAGCGCCAAATCACGACAAGAGTCGTCTCAAGGCACTTCACATAATAAACATTCCAATTCAGGTCAGTTCATTAAGCCAATCAGAAAAAAATGTTTCCAATATAAGGAACCCAGCAAATTGCATCCTTTACAGCAATCCTCATACTAAGCAAGCATATAGCGACAGTGGAGAGGAAAACTCCCTTTTAACAGGAAGAAACCTCCAGAGGATCCTGGCTCAGTATAAGCAGCCATCCACCATGACTCACTGGGGATCGAGAAGACAAAGCACACACACACACACACACACACACACACACACACACACACACACACACACACACACACACACACACACACACACACACACACACACACACACACACAATGTGTCTATGGTTACATTGTGATTGCTTAGTAAATATTCTATTTGGCGAGAGATAAACTTTATAGTATTTATCCTAGTGGATCTATGATTAAAGGTGTTCCCTGGCCAGGCAAGAGACGTAGTCCCTCCCTGGGTCTCCCTTTAGGTATCCTACCGGTTGGACGTGCCTGGAAAACCTTACCAGGGAGGCGTCCAGAAGGCATTTTAATAAGATGCCTGTCAAGATGGCGCCGTCCACGGCCTGCCGTCTGCTCTCCCTATTGTTGTTTTTGCTTTTTATTTTCCTGTGTTGCTCTTTGGTGGATAGTAGCTCAAATTTTCGCTATGATCGCCTCACCCTTCTTGAACTTCGGCATAAACTTGGATTTGCCTATCACCGCTGTTTGGATCTAAGACGGTCCTTGGCCTCGCTGTTTACGGCGGTCCCGCAGACGTGGCAAACGCGGGGGTTCCAAAGTGCGGCTCAGAGCCTCCTCCGGCTGTTCGTGCATGGGATGTAAACCTCACCTGTCACCAGAGTTGATACATGGAGATCATCGGACCTTCCGCATTCCATCGCTCTGTCGAAGATTCTTTGGGGAATCTGGTCGCCGGAATGCCTCAACCACCAACCCGTGGATGCACCGGGTCGTCAACCAAGCTAACCTTTGCTATTCTACGTTGGCCCAAGCGGCCCAGTCACCCCGGTCAGCTGATTCAGGTCTTCCACCGATCTTCAGGGTAGCTCTCCTAAACGCACGGTCAATTGGGAATGAAACCCTCATTTTAAGGTATTATTTTTTCCAGCATGAGGTGACATTGTTCTGCATGAACGAGACCTGGGTTCTTCCTGGTGAGTCAGCTGCTCTGTCAGAGCTCTGTTCTTCAGACTGACAGGTTCTGAACGAGCCCTGGCTCACTGGTCGTGGTGGTGGATTACTAACCATGTTCATATCCTCTTTCCATCCTAAAAAACGTACTATACCAGTGACTCCAGCCAGCTTTGAGTTTATGGCTTTTGAGGTGGACTTTAGTCCTCCACTGCTGTTTATTCTCTGCTATCGCCCACCTAAGTACAATTCAAACTTTTTATCGGAATTTTCTGATCTTTTAACAGACTTTCATCCAAAATATGACCGTGGGATTATTCTTGGTGATTTTAATATACATGTTTGCTGCCCTGACAGATCTCTTGTTGGTGACTTTTTAGACATTTTAGATTGTTTTGGTCTCCAGCAACAGGTCCAGTCACCCACCCATTCAGGATCGCACATTTTAGACTTGGTTTTGTCATTTGGGATCTGTATCTCTGAACTGATTGTTGACTCTGCATGTATCTCTGATCATTCTCCTCTTATTTTTAATATCTGTGGCTTGACACCTCCATCCAAAAGGCAACATAATCAACACCTTACAAGTTTAATTTCCCCTTTCACCACCAATCTATTAGCATCTAGCCTAGCTGCGACTCTATCCACTTCCCAACCTGATTCCGCCTGTGTAGGAGTTGAGGAGCTGGTGACCTCTTTCAACTCTGCCTGCTCAACTGTTTTAAATGCAGTCGCTCCTCTAAAATCCAGACATAAAAAAACTGTGGCAGGCCCTTGGCTCAATGAGGAGACTCGTGCCCTAAGACGCCAATGTAGGTTCTGCGAACGCCGGTGGCGGAAGGACAAGCTGCAAATCTCCTACCAATTATTCAAGGATTCTTTGACCCGCTATCAGAAAGCTGTCCGCACAGCTAGAAACAGATATTTTGCAAATATAATCACTAGGCATAAAAACGACCAGAAGAAACTGTACAGTGTCCTCACCTCTGTACTATCCCTTAGAGAATCTCCCAACTCTTCTCCCTCTACAGGGGCTCTTTGCAATGAGTTTCAAAACTTTTTCCTGCATAAAATCCAGGATGTTAGATCCGGTTTCTCTTACTCAGGCTGGGTTACCTGTGTGGAACCTCACTGTACACACTCATTCTCTTGCTTTGCTCATGTGACTCTCTCTTCCCTAGTTGATCTAATCTTGGCTATGAAGCCCTCAGGCTCTCCAGAGGACAGCCTTCCCCCAAGACTGCTGCGCAATGTCCTTCCAGCGGTGGCCCCTGCTGTTTTGGATATTGTCAATTCCAGCTTCTCCTCTGGTGTGTTTCCAGCTGCTTTTAAAAATGCAGTTGTTCAGCCGCTATTGAAGAAACCAGGCCTTGACCAGTCTGACTGTGTCAATTATCGCCCAATCTCAAAACGTCCATTCATCTCAAAAGTAGTTGAGAAACTGGCTCTCACGCAGCTTACTTCTCACCTAGATGACAGTGGGCTTCTTGACCCATTCTAATCAGGTTTTAGATGTAATTACAGCAGAATCTGCACACATTAGGGTACTCAATGACATCTTGATTCTGAATGACTCTGGCTCCCATGTGCTGTTACTCTTACTCGACCCGACCGCAGCATTCAACACTGTAGACCTCACCATCCTACTTCACAGACTTGAATTTTGGGTGGGTGTGACCGGTACTGCCCTCGAATGGTACCTTACTCAGGCTGGGTTACCTTAATGGTCGGTGTTTTAGTGTTCATGTTGGAGACTGCTCTTCTCCCAATGTCCCACTTCCATGGGGTGTACCACAGGGCTCCATCCTGGGTCCTCTCCTCTTTTCAATTTACATAATACCACTAGATAAGATTTTAGCAAGTCTCGGGGTTAACTACCACTTTTATGCAGATGATTGCCAGATCTACCTTCAAATCAACCAACAGCACTCATTTTCTATAATGTCAGAATGCCTCTCCCAGGTCAGATCCTGGCTTTCTCAAAACTGCCTACGGTTAAATGACAGCAAATCAGATGCCATACTTTTTAGCCCCACTAACACGAATGGTGCTTTAGATGTCTCAACTCTCCCACTCAATCTCAAATCATGTGCCACTAGCCTAGGTGTGAAACTGGACTCTGACCTTTCAATGTCTTCACAAGTCAACGCTACTGTCAAGTCCTGCTTTTTCCAACTCTGCCGCATCACTCGTCTTAAGTCAATCCTAAAACGCCCGGATCTTGAGTCAGTCATTCATGCTTTTATTACTTCACGTCTGGATTACGCAAATTCTGTCCTTATTGGGATTGATGCTTCAGCCTTAAGCAAACTGCAGAAGGTTCAAAATGCCGCGGCCAGATTTTTAACCAACACCGACAGACGCATTTACCGACAGACGCGGGGGGGTGGGGGTGGGGGGGGGGGGTGGACTGATGGGACATGTCCCCTCCAATATTGGAGAAACGCACATTTGTCCCCCCCAATAACATGGAGAAGAAAAAAATTGATTTTGAAATACTTGACTTGCGAGCTTTTATTTTGAAAGACACCGCAGACTTCTCACTGACACAGCCCCTCCCCTCAGGCAGTAAGGCTGGCTGAGTGAAGCGGGAGTCAGATTCGGGATGACAGCAGCTCTGCGAGTTCTTCTCATGGGCAAAAAAAGAAAGAAAGGAAATGTGAGTTGGTAATAATTTAGTCCAAGAGGATAATTGTATTTCTGGTCAAACGCTAGACTGGCTGACTAACGTAAACATCTTGCTAGGCAGCATTAAACATTAAACAACACTGCTAGTCAACAAAAAATGGTGAACTTGACACGATTCGACAGTAACAGACAAAAACCATTTGACACGAAATAAATAAAAAAGTAGACTCTCCACATAAAAATGGAATTTGTAAGTGTGATTGTTGCTTGTTTGTGACATTCTCATCACATTTTGTTTTTTATACCTTATTGATGTTACTCTTTTCATATAAGAGACCAGAGGAAGTTCAGCAGGAAAATGATGAAGAAGGTGAGACAGGGAGCACCAGACCTGCTGAGGGTGAGACAGGGAGCACCAGACCTACTGAGGGTGAGACAGGGAGCACCAGACCTGCTGAGGGTGAGACAGGGAGCACCAGACCTGCTGAGGGTGAGACAGGGAGCACCAGACCTGCTGAGCTGCAGGCAGGTGCTACAATGAAGAGTGAGGTTTTAGATGGTTGATGATGAGAGGAAGATTCGATAACAAGTGAACACGACTAAATAAAACTGTAACAACCATGATTTTAACGTTGCACTAGGAAAACGACCGGTTCGGCTGGCTCCGGTGAAGTGGAGACGGTCATACTGGGAAGTTTCGGTAATGGAAACACACCAGTTAGTGCCTGGCTGGTTTATAAAAGACACCCGTTCCTCCTTTTGGTGTGAGGATGCCAGCTGGTCCTGTTCCCCTGCAGATAGCTCATCAGTACTTAATACAAGTTGTTTATTGTGTATCTACGTTGGTGTTAGTTTGGGATGTTCTGATCATACCAGCAACACCTGTGTGAACCCTGTGTGCAGCACTTGGGCTTCTTCCCCTTTTCCTTCATGCTGTGCAGGACAGCAGCAACAATGTAAAACAACATGTCCGCCTAACTTTAACTCCGTCTGCGAGAGTGATGTAAGCTTTGAGTCCTGCAGTGAAAAGCTCCAGCTCCTGGGGAAGCTGATCACAGCTGGTTTAATACGACGTAAAGAACAAAGTCTGGGTGGAGTGAGGTGAGTTTCCAGGGATGGCTGCAGAGATAAACACCTCCCAGTCAGACGCAGCTACGCTCACCAACACCCGTCTGTATGAGCGTCAGAAGGCTCGGCTAATAACCGGACCATGAGGAAGTTCATGATGCTGGAAGAGCAGCCTTTCTCTGTGGTGGAAGAAGAACCAAGTTTATTCATACAGCACGTGTCCCAGACCGAGGTCACGAAAGGAATCACAATAAAACGCTGAAAAATAATACAATGAGTAGAAAACAACAGGCTCCGCCCACTGCTCAGTCACTAAGTAACCCACTACTACTACTACTAATAATAATAACAACAATAAATCTCCCAAAATGCTAACTAGTAAGGTTCCTTTGCTTTGTAGTGCTCTAGCCTGCTGAGAGCTTCAAAGTGAAAGGTTGTTACTGACAGCAGCTACATCTAAGTGTTTATTCATTTTCCTTTTGACTGAATAGTTGCTGATTTGATCTTGGAGACGTTTCTCCTCACATCAGCTTCAGATCTAAAGCTTGGGTTGTGAGTAGGAGGCTTAGAAGTTCTGGTCAGAAACAAACACGCTGATTGTGATGGAAGTTTTTATTGTTCCTAAAGTAGAAATCTGTTTTTATCTAAATGAAGTTCATGTTCTTGTTCCTTTTCCCCACATCATGTAGCCAGTATCACTCATGGTGTAAATATAAAGGTATGGTGGTCTGTAACATCATGTGTCTGTGTTTCCTACAGATGTTCAACAGCTGGCGCTGGTTAAAGAAGAAGATCCTGAAGAACAGAGTGCTGGTGTGGACCAGCAGGACCCAGAACACCTCCACATAAAGGAGGAACAGGAGGAGCTCTGGACCAGTCTGGAGGGAGAGCATCTCTGTTTGAAGGAGGAGACTGAAGCTGTCGGGTCTCCTGTTACTGCTGCTTCTATAAAGAGTGAGGATGATGAAGAGAAACCTCTGGTCTCACAGCTTCATCAGCAGCAAATAGAAGACAGAGATGTTCCAACCAGCAGCTCAGCTGACCAGATGGCAGCAGAAACTGGTGGAGGAGCAGGAACTAGCAGGAACCCAGATCTGAACCCTCATGAACAAACATCTGATTCTTCAGAGACTGAAGTTAGTGGAGATGATGATGATGATGATGATGATGGTGTGAATCTGGACTCTGAGCTGTCAGACTCTGGGTCTGAAACTGGAGATGAAGATGATGGCTGGAATGAGAGCAGGTCTTCTGAGTCAGATGGTAAGTCTGTCAACAAGTTCTTCACAAGTGGTCTCTCCAGAGACACGTGAGGGAGACGAGTCATCCAGCAGTCAGGTCTTCAGGCTGTTTGGTTCATAAGAAATGTGTTAGAGTGAAGCAACATGTAGACTCGTGCAGGAAAGTCCAGAAGAAAGCTAAATCATTTAGTCCTGATGACTGGAGAAAGGTTTACTACAAATGTAAACAAACAAATCACATGAGAGTCCACACATAGCAGCTGCTGTTCCAGAGTATGGGCCAGCCTCATCCCACCCATACTCTGCTTCTTGTGTGTGTGTGTGTGTGTGTGTGTGTGTGTGTGTGTGTGTGTGTGTGTGTGTGTGTGTGTGTGTGTGTGTGTGTGTGTGTGTGTGTGTGTGTGTGTGTGTGTGTGTGTGTGTGTGTGTGTGTGTGTGTGTGTGTGTGTGTGTGTGTGTGTGTGTGTGTGTGTGTGTGTGTGTGTGTGTGTGTTTTTAGACATAGAATGATACATTCAGTTAAAAATAAACATAACATAATCCCTCCTGTTTATCCGAATAGGATAACCAAACAAAAAGAAAACAAGAACAAATAAAGTAATCAAAACCTCTCGATTCACTGCGCTTCTCTCTCCAGCTCCTCTCAGGCCCTGTCCACACGTAGCCGGGGATCTGCCAAAACGTAGATATTTTCCTACGTTTTGGCCTGTCATCCACACGAAAACGGAGTTTTTTCACACGAAAACGGAGTTTTTTAAAAACTCTGGCCAAAGTGAAGATCTGCGTTTTCTCCGTTTTGGGTGTCTGCGTGTGGACGGACAAAGCCGGAGTTTTAAGGTCCGCAACGTCACTTTCCGCGACAAAAAAATGCTGACATCACGTGTGCGACCTGTGTTTACACTAGCCGGCATCACGGAAGCCTTCAGAGCTGCGCTCTGTCACTACCCGATCCATCAATTCTCCAAGCGCTTTTTGCTTGTTTGTTTTTGCAAGAGGAATTACTGCTCCTTGCGGAAGACCACAGACGAAGGACGAGGTTAAGAACGGGGGAAGTACTGCCGCCTACAGGTCTGGCATGTCCTTAACAACGTATTTATCCGGGTACGTGTGGACAGAGTTAGTTTTTAAAACGCGGTGGTGTGGATGCAAGTTTTTGGAGGGGCGGATATTCGTTTTTAAAAAACCCCGGCTACGTGTGGACTAGGCCTCAGTCTGGCTTTTCAACTGTTTGTGCAGACCTCTTAATCAGCTGATGTGCACCAGCTGCCCTGTGGGGAGCAGCAGCAGGCCAAAGGGTTCCAGATAATGGCTCCCTCTAGTGGGGGAATTTAGCTGGATCATGGGGTTCATCTCACAGCATGAACAGAGGGAGATAAACTCATCAGCCCAAATACAGGGGGCTGTAACATAAGTGTGAATTAGTCTCATAAAAATGTTTAAAAATATATGATGATCCCTAATCATTTTTGTCAGGCATATTTTTTCGTTTCTCTGAGCAGAGACTGTCTAAACGTCATGGTAGAAAATAGTTTGCATTTTGCAAAAAATCATGTTGATGAGTTTATTTGAATTATTCCAACAAGAAGTATGTAAATGCCAGAGCAGGTCACTACAAACCCCACAGACGGGAGGGGGGCATTGTAGTTGTCACCTTTTTTCACACCCCGAGTTTGCAGGTATGTTACCACCAGCGTAATTAGCAGTCTTACTGCATTTACGCTTATCCTTAGCCAGCAGTTTCAGGTAGGATTTAATGTCGCCGCTCTGGCCCCAGGTAAATGTAACCAGGTTAGTTCAGCAATACCAAGTTTGGCCTCAAGGGGGCAGCATATGATCTGTTTTAAATTAGAGATTGACACGCTCTCAGACGCCATCTTGGATTATCGGTCTGTCGGCAGCTGATGTCAAAGCAGAAGTCAGACAAACTTGAGCTGAGCACGGCGAACCTTTGTGAAGCTGGATGAATCCATCCATCCATCCTTTGGATTATTTTGATCGCTAAACCAAAGACTTAAGTTTTGTGACTTGAACTTGGATTTCTTTTTTTTCCTTCATATCTGTTATCCTGGTGAGTTCACAATTTGCTCACATGCTGTTAGCATGCTAAGTGAGTTAGCAATGTTTTAAACCTGCTAAATGAGCCTCTTATGTTCTAAAACCAGTCAGGATAAACTTAAAATAAGAATAACTTGAGAGAACAGCCATATTCAATGATTTGTGTGTGCTGAATAGTATTTTGTCGTAGCAAATGGTGATTTATTGTCAATGAAGTGATTATGAAACACTGCGTGTGGGCTAGCTGGACAAATATATTGACCAGTTTTGTTATGGGTTGTGACTTTACATTAAATACTGCTGTGCTGCATTGCTAATTGCAGAAATACACAACTATGGTTGCAACAGCAATTAAAGAGATTTAGTTAATTTTAGGGAGTTTTCAATGTTATTTCAAATTGCAATTATTACATGTTAAGCAATATGTTCCTGTGAGTTGATTATAGTGAATGTTATGAAAAAATGTTTATTTAACTGTGGGTTGTATAGACTTGAAAAGTGATTGTCCTGTGCATCTGTACAGGCTGGTTTTTCCTTTGGAGGGGTTAGTTGGAGAGAGCCTCACCTGCTGCCATCTGCTTCAACAGTGACTGGATTGCCCATCCCGGACCATTTTCTTTTCTTTTTTTTCTTTGGACATACTCAGTTGAGAGGGCGGTAGGGCTTGAGTGTACTCATATTATTTTGAACTTTTGGACATTGGGGTTTATATTATTTCATTCCTGAGATCTCAGAGGAATTTTTGTTCTTATACTGTTGAGTTATCTGTGTATAAAAGAAAAAAACTGATGGACATTTAAGTTGTTTATGGGTGACTATCGTCAATACATTTTATATTATTGCTAGTTCTTTGTCATGTGTGTTATTTGGGTGGATGTCTAACCATCGCTTGGGTAAATAAGTTACAAACTCATTGAACCTAGAATAGATATTCCTTTCATGTTGCTGTGTTGCATAACCACAACGTAGAGGTTACATAAACATTTGACTATGGTTGCTGGAGTCTCTGCCATGTTTCTGACTATGGAGCTGCCAATTACCAGAGTTGGGTTGTCAATGGGCGCGTCACTGAGTGACCCCAGCAGGGTCTAAAAAAATCCGGTCCCAATCAATTTTTATCTGTCAATGTTTTAAGCTATTGTCAGACCATTTAGATAATAACAAATTCAAGAAGTTTTTCAATCAGCTTTTAGAGCAAAGCATAGTACGGAAACTGCGCTTGTGAGAGTGTTCAATGATATTTACCAATATACTGATGTGGGTGACAGTCTTTTTATTACCCTTTGATCTGACCGCTGCTTTTGATACTCTTGATCATGTTATACTTCTCAATCGACTGGAGAATTTTTTTGGTCTCTGGTTCAGAGCTCTTCTGGATGAGTTCCTACCTGGCTGACAGGTATATGACTGTTAAGATTGGTAGCTTCAGCTCAAGTGATGCTCCCCTGAAATATGGGGTCCCACAGGGCTCTGTACTTAGTCCTCTGCTTTTCAATTTATATTTGCTCCCTCTTGGGGCCATCTTTTGGAAATATGAGCTTGACTTCCATCTTTATGCTGATAACCGTCAGGTCTATGCTCCTGTTAAAGCTAAGGATTTAGCTCTAAGTTGTCTTTGTGAGGTTAATAATTGTGGATGGGTTGTAATTTTCTCCGGATTAATTAGTCTAAGATGGAAATGATTATGTTTGCACCAAGTGGTGCTCCTGTAGTTACTCAGTCTCATATGATGCAAAGGATGTTGTGTCTAATTTGGGTGTTAAGAATGATTCTCAACTTAAATTTGATGTTCAAGTCAATAATGTGGTTCAAGTATATTTTTTTCACCTAAAGAATCTTTATGTCCTTTTTGATGAGGAATTGTTTTGAGAAGCTTATTCATGCATTTAATGCATTTTGTTTAGACTACTGCAATAGTCTTTACTTGAGTTTGGATTAGGGCTGCACAATATATCGAAAAATTATCGTCATCGGGATAACAGGACGTGCGATAGGCCCATCGCAAAGCACGTCAAAAACGGCGATAAATGCTTGGTTCAACATTTCCATCTGTGTCATACATCAGCTTTTTGTAAACCAGCTCTGTTTTTTACGCGGAAGTATTATTTGACCAATCAAATGTAGCCCTTCTGCTATGCGGCCAATCAAATGGGTCCGTTCACGTAATACGCCCGCCCCCTACATAGACCTTTAGGATGGAAAGCAACACCCGAACTGAGTTAGCAGCGCCGTTCCCTTGTTCGTCATGCTGGCTCAGAGCAATGAACGCACTTTGTGCTGAGGTTTCTGGAATCAGCGCTGCTTTCAAACGTGAACGTGAGTCCGCTCGGTGTCGTTAATCATTTTTACCGGGCTGACTCAGACACGTGCCGGTGAACCAACCCACCTTCATGTCGCTAGTGTTCCACCGGGTGGTGATGTTTGCCCCAGGCTCCGGTTAGCTTCCAGCTAAAAGGCTACAGCACTCTCCTCCCAGTCCCACCCTGCTAAAGAGGGCCTGGAAAAGTTCCCCCACACATCAAAGTGATTTTTCATTTATGAGCTTTTATAACCTTGTTAATCAGGATAGTTGATTTGCTGCTGCACTTAAACTGTCAGTCAGAAGCTCTGATAGCCGGTTATCTTAAGAGGAGCTAGTTCAATTTGTTAGCTTGTTACCAGAATCATAGTTGTAGTTTCATCCTCTGAGCTGCTTTTTAAGATCTAGGTAAACTCGTTCAATTTGGGGATAAAAACAAACGTTTTCACATATTTTCCATGTAGTTTTTTTTGCCAGTTCCTCTTCTGAAAGGTAGACAATTGTTTTTCTCTTTCCCTCAAAAAATCTTAATATTCTCCTAGTTTGGCCCAGCACAGTTCACTTCCCAATTACAGCAACAGCCTTATATCATAACCACATAAGTGGAGAAAATGTTCAGTAGCAATGAGAGAATTTGCTGTTGCATTTAAGTGATGTTAACTATTATT